GATTAGAATTATTCAGTTGATGCTTCTGAAATGTAATCCTCTTGATTCAAAATGACGAAAAAAGAACCTTTATCACTCTTTTTGACAACAATGGTATTGTCTTTGTGTTAACTAAGTTCAAGGCTTCACTTTTTTTGATTGTAGTAATTGTGGATAAATGGCAATCTAGATCGGTTTCCGTGTGGATTTGAAAAACATGGTTCGAAATGAAATGAATGGAATTTTGCTTCTTACTCTTCTGTACCTGATGGGCTAATGAAGACAGGCAACACCATGCGGGGTACATTAAGGGTAATTTTTACCAGGACAGCAGCATTAGTCTACTCTATTCCACTTTATTGTCCCATCCAAAAGACTGGAAAAGGGGAAATCAGGTTGAAAAATCTGAAAGTTTATCTTGAACTTTGCTGGGAATAAATGCTGGACCGTTAGGTTAGTGAGCAAGTGTCAGGCATCAAGTGAATGGTGGTTATGGGAAAAAAGAGGTTTTGAATCAAAATGGTCTGTTTACTAACCTGAATGTGAATTTCAAACGGTTTGCTGTAAACCAGTCTTAACAATGTGTTCTCACAGTAACATAGTTACTAATATAATTAGACCTTAATTCAATGTACACCTGTCAAATCAAAATAGCTAATTTCTTACCCTAGCCTATTTATATCAGTTAAATAAGAAAGAACCGACAAATTTAGAGAGGACAGTAACAATTTATTTTTTTTTACCTCATTTCAAACTGAACATGGATTGAAATAAAGTTACCAGGATCATAAATTTTAGTTATTCTTTAATTTTGCGTTATTTTTATTTCTACTATTTTCCCTTCAATAAGTTACATTCTTAAAACTGGTTGTTAATTTTGGACACATTCTTGTTACACAATGATATAATCAGTGACAGCACCAGTGGTGATATAGTTCAGCCCTACAATGGCAAAATGCAGTAACTCCAATATTTGCTCAAAATCACTTTTTTGAACTTTTGGAATCAGAATTTCCAGCTCTATTTGGTGGGATATATCCTAACAATCATTATGATTAGTAGGTGACAAAAGGCACTAACTCCATAACTTGAATATATTTTCAATTTAAAAAGGCAGTATCTGCTTTTATATATATAGGAAATATGTGACAAGGCAAAAAGGCAGTAAGTGAGAAGAAAATTTTTAAGTGCAGTTTTCTCAAAATGTACAAAATTGTCTTTACTGCATTTTGCCATTGTAGGGCTGAGTTGGACTCCCAGAAATATATGGTTATGTCCCCAATTTCATTTCTAAGAAAATTCAAAATATAATTATTTGTTTTTGACCCAAAATGTGTCAGAGTATACCAAATTAATTCATTTTTTTCAAATTTTCCTCTCACATCCTGATAAGCAATCTGTCCCCTATAAGTACTGGAGACTGGTGTGTGTCTGGATATTACAGTGATAAAGTCATTCAAAGACTAAATGTTAATCATTACTATTAGGAAGCTGATAAACAAATTCACAGATAGATACATGAATTACAGATAAAAATAAAAGGATAGGCTATCAAGTTGGAAACATTCGCAACATTATCAAAAGATATTATTGACAATATAATTTTAATATCAATTTTTCTAGTTGAAGTTCAAATTGAGACATCTAAATAATAAATCTATTTTATGTATGATATATAGTCACCTAATAATAGGATATACCATCCTCTATTTTCCATCTTATTATGTCCATGATTTATAGTTTCAAAATGACTGGTTTGGGATGGACAATGAAATATAATAATAAGATCAAAATCAGTTCAAATTTTAAAGGCCAAATTTTTAGTTAATGCCACATATTTGTCATTGCCTGTGTTAATTAAGATAGTATGAATGGATTTTTTTATTTCCAAGAAAAGAGAAACATAGCTTGCCAGGCAAAGTAAACTAACTAGCAACTTCAAAGATAGTGGACCAAAGACATATATGCCCACCATGGTAAATATTCAAGATTTTGGGGCAAGGGCAATAACTCGCTTTTAACGGTCGAAAATATCTCAAATTCGAACTTGAATATGTATACACATACCGAATTTCATTTGATTCCATCAAAAAATCTAGTTTTTAGAGGGTTTACAAGCAAATGTTGACAGACGGACAGACAGGGGTGCCGACAATATACGTCCACAAAGAGAGATGTGGGTGTGTAAAAATGATAACAGTCTTGATAGTGACTAAAAAATAAATGTTCTCATATTGAATATCTCTATAAAGTTCAAAAACTGTAACTTCTATTGTGTTCACAAACACATATTGGTGCTTTTTAATTATGTCAAAAATCATTTATCAAAAAATCCATTTTCATGTTAACTTATAAAAATAAGATTACATGCAAATTATTGTGGGGTCTAAATTTTGCATAAAACTTTAACCAGTGATTGTTGTTCCATAAAGCTGTGTCTATATATAGTTAAGGTATGTTTATACTCTGCTTTTCTTTGCTCGAGCACAGCAACCTTCAAAGCTCAACAATGAAGCGAAATTTCGCATTTGTGTACAGTATACTCTGTGTGATCCGACATACACTGGGACTGCAAAAATATGTCGGATTAGCGAGAGTGTCGGAGTACTCTCGAGATTTTTTAACCTGGCCATGTGTTACTATTTATAACTCAGTGACCCACATTCTACAGATGGTACCTTTCTAATAATAAGACAATAATAAAAGACAATTCAGTTGTATACGTTACTATTATTTAATAGTTCATATTTTGAGCTACCGTACATATGCTTTTTATTGGTATTAAGTTTGTTTTATATTCTTCTTTACGTTTTAAAATTCTGCTTATTTTTTCATAACTAAATATTTCTGCGAAGAGCGCATCACTTTTTGCTGTTTGATATCCAGAGACACATCAGTACAGACATGCTTCGCAAGACGGAAATTGTTAGTTTGAGAATTTTGATAAAACGTGTAACAAAGAATGGTCAAGTTGCATATTTCTGTTCTATACAGTGTAATGAATGATACGAGTACCAATGCCATTTGGTCTAAAGGCAATGACTTTGATCTTGAAGTCATTGGCAGTGATTAATCAGCATAATTTAGTTCAGCTATCGTTTGTTTTCATGTGATTTGATCCAGATTATCAATAAAATAAGCGATAATCTAATAGACGGTAAGTGATTAAGATGAGTAGATGTCGGATTATACAGATTTTTCTGAGTATCTGGACCACTGATTAGTGTCGTAATTCGGAATACACAGAGTGTCGGAGTACTCAATGTTTTTTAAACTAGCCTAAAAACGAAATCAATCGGGACCAGAAAATGATGTCTGATTACGCAGAATGTTGGAATACTCCGATGTCAGATATCACAGAGTACACCGTACTTTCGTAAGTTCATTATCAAGCTAAGCAAAGGAGTAGGTTGTGATTCTAGATCATTCAGAGTTTCATTTAAAGATGGGTTCCCTTATTTTCATTTATGAAAATGAAAATGCTAATATGTATATGAATAGAAAGAGGTATTCTAATGACTTGGAAAAATACCAGTTTGTCTCACATGTCCATAATAAATTCATAATTAGCTTAATTACTAGCAGAATTCCAATGAGTGACTGCTCAAGAAAGGTCAAAAAGTCTATTTTTGTTTATCCAGACAGTCTGGACCAGACTGTACATTTATGATTGGTTTAAACTCTTAATTATAAGCAATAAAATAAGGAAACCCATCTTTAATGCTTAACTTAAGAATGTAAGATGGGTTATACCTTTGTGAGAGGTTAGTTTGATCAATTGGTATCAACTTTTGCATTGGTACAAACCCACAATGCAAAAATAAAATTCATAGAATTCATCAAAAATTGAAAAGTGAGCATGTAGTGCATTAAATGTAAACAGATTACTGAATGACTGATGAAAAAACTAATGAATAGTTTAATGACAATATGTGGCTTAACTTAAAAACAAACTATAATACTATCAACATATTAACTTTACAAACTATCTAGGTTGAAAGCCCTGAAAGATAAAAACTTACTAGTGTTCTAAGAATTGCTCCCATAAATAATGTGTTTTTTGACGAATGAAAATGTCACAAGCAAAAAGAGAATGATGGAAAATTAAAAGTGTAAAAGTCAACTGTCTGTTGGCCGTCACTTTGATCTATAATTTTTCTGCCATGTGGGAAATCTATTGTATATAAAGAAGCTAACTGGTAAGGAGAAAAATAGTGGCAATGTCACTAGAGATACTTCTTTCATTTTTTTACAACAAGTTTCTATTTTTTTAACTTTGTATATTTTCCCCTTATTTAAATTTTTAACCAACTATCACTGTGCTGTTTTATAAACATTTATTGATTTATCTTTTGAAAACATTCTAAAAGTGTCACATATAGCGCACCTTATTTTTTATTATTAATAACGCGATTCACCAGTCCCTTATAACTCGCGTTGTATTCGGGTTGTCATTCGAGTTGATCCATCTAATAAGTATTTTTATTTTGATATTTATGTTAATTCTATATGCATAAGATTATCAGGAGTACAAATGCAAGCAAGAATTTTATCATGTCACATTTATTTTATTATCGTAAGCATATTCCTAGGACTGCGCACGTGGAACTCTCTACTCGATTCACTGTTCTTTAAAAGTCTGGTTAATTGTGTCTCGATTGTTATGGCATGGCGCCATTTGTTTTAAGAATTGTTTGCCGTGGCTAAGATGTCATTGCTTTACAGTTATTTTACCACTACCTACTACCATTAAACACTGTGAATAAAATATCATCTATATTGACATTCTATCTTGATGGTTTTTGGGTGTGCGTTAGCCTGCCTGTGGCGCTAGTTGGGATTATCGTCAATTCCATCGGCAAAACAGAACAGTAAAATAACTCAAGTAAGACATTTTAGGTCAATTGATAAACTAAAATCGTACGTCTACATTACCGCAATACAGATTTACGTAACTAAGAACCAACAATTGTCCCCTTTTTAAATTTCGAAAAAAAAATAAACAACCTTAGTAAGAAGCTATGTCATCGAATGAAAAAAGTACGGAAACCCATGAATGCCAAGACGAATCATCCGATCGACCAATTCGCACCAAAACGAAGTCAGTAAAGGCATTGGAAGCTGCTATTATGGAAAAAACCAAATTATTTTGGAAATCTCAGAAAGATTTGGAGCAAAACACCAATGCTGTATTTAGATGTGACCCATTTTCTCCACACATTCCTGAACTCAAAGAAAAGTTGAAAGTTTCATTAGAACATTTTGAAAAAGAATTAACTGAATTAAAGCAACTTTTCACGCAACATGATGTCGACTCTATGCAGAGACAGTCTCTACTAGCAACTGCTGATAAATGGTTAAAGCTTGCTAATGGTGCCACATCTTCCACAGATCTACCACCACCTATCCTTCAACCTTTACCTCGCGATCAAATTTCGCACGCATCTACGACATCAAGTGTAGCCCGACGATTGGAAGCTAGAGCAAGACTTGCCGAAGAAAAAACCAAGCAAGAATATGAAGAAAGAATTCGTCAAATGACAGCTGAAATGGATCGTCAAAAGGCTGAATTAGCTCGTCAAAATATCGAATCAGAACAAAAGAGATTATTACAAGCTGCAGAACTGGAACGACTGAAGGGTCAGAGAGATTTGAAGATGGCAGAAGCCTCTGCTAAAGTTTACGATAGCGACGATCATCTCGATATTTTACCCAAATTGCCTGATCCACCCGATCGAAATAAAGCCACACAGGACTGGATAAACCAAGATGATAATAAAGACCCCACCTTCGAAAATCCTAGTCTTAAAACTGATAATCAAGATGTCAAACCCAAAATTAGAGCATATGACAACGTACATCAAAAGTCAACATTCTCAAATGGTTTTGCTGGAAATGGTCCAATTTTCACTCCACACCGTCATCCAGAAGACACTACCCAAAGCAACGCTTTCTCACAGTCATTCATCAACATGCAACAGGACACCAATAGACAACTGATAGCCTCCCTGGCAAAACAATCACTACCTAAATGTGAACCAGACGTTTTCTCGGGAGATGCTGCTTTGTTTCTACCATGGAAATCTTCCTTTAGAGCCATGATAAACGATGTTGATGCCACGCCTGATCAAGAACTCACATATCTATTACGTTACACAGCTGGTAAACCTAGGGATCTTGTTAACACATTTCGTCGCCGAGTTCATCCTAATGCACAGACTAAAGTCAAAGACCTATGGAATTCCTTAGAAGAAAGATTTGGTCACAGTGCTGAAATAACTAACGCTCTTCTAAAAAACCTACAGAAAGCTGCCGAATTCAAGAATGATGATCGAGAAGCATTTCAAAACTTTTATGACGTATGTGAAGATGTCAACACACAAATTCCTTATTTGAGAGGCCTTTCCATTCTAAACTCATCTTACTACATGAAAACTTTGGTGGAGAAAGTTCCAAGAACCATCAGAGATAAATGGGAGTCTAGAATTACCAAACACATGGTTGGGAGAAATAAAGATGATTATCCGCCATTTCACATGTTTGTCGAAGTCGTGCACAACATAGCTCTGAAAAAGAATTACCCTGCTATTGTCAGACTTCCTTCTGTGGATATTGATACTTCATCCAAGCCATCGAAATATAGAACTACTGGAGTCAACCAAAGAACCAATCACACAAGAACCCTTAAGACAGAAATCCGACAAGATTCGAATCCTAAACGACCAGATAACGAGATCGTCTACTGCACACTTCATCCTGATGCTAAGAAGCCACACACCCTTGTCGACTGTCGTCTGTTTGCTGAAAAACCTGTGTCAGAAAGACAGAAAATTGTACGAGAAGCTGGCATATGCTTCCGATGTCTTGTCAAGAAACATTTTTCGAAATATTGTAAGGCCGATGTAAAATGCTCCACCTGTGGACGACGCCATTTAACTTTGCTTCATCAAAATATAGATACCGAATCTACAACTTCAGACACTAGCAGCCCTGCATAAAGTCAAAGTGGGGAGAAGGTAGAAACCGCCTGTATGCAGATATGTGGAAGTCATGACGTTAAGGGCAAGTCATGTGGAAAAATCGTATTAGCTGAAGTTTTCGACAGAGATGACCCTAATATTAGATTTAGAAGCTACATAAATCTCGACGAACAATCGAATCATACTCTTGGTACAAGAACTCTGATGGATAGCCTACATATCACAGGCCAGAACCAACCATATACACTTGAGACATGTCATGGAAAGAAAGTCTGCTCCGGAAGACGTGGCTTCAGTCTTGGTATTCGATCCCTGGATGGTAGAACATTTAATCTTCCTACAGTCATCGAATCAGCAAACATTCCAGCAGACAAGAATGAGATTCCTACTCCAGAAATGATAACACACATTCCACATCTCACATCTATTGCAAATTCGTTACCGCCTTTTGAAGAAACTACTGGTATCCATCTGTTAATTGGTAGAGATGCACCAGAACTCCTCAAAGTTAGAGACTTCATCAACGGTCCTGTAGGAGCACCCTGGGCACAATTAATGGATCTTGGTTGGACGGTTTCAGGAGAACTCTGTCTTGATAGACATGGAGGCAGAGTGCATGTCAACTCACGACGCACACATACTGGATTACAACATGGTTTCATCCAGTGTCAAAACGAAATTAGATGTAAAGAACACTTTGAAGTTACAAGAGATTGCGAACAACCCACTGTACCTGCACCATCCACGAAAAATTATAAACGAGAAATTTTGTCAAAAATCGCCAACAACGAATTTCTTACAACAGAGAAAGATTCTGAGATCGGAACATCACCCGAAGACAGACAATTTTTAGAATGCATGGAGAACAGCTTTCATATCAACAAACACGGTAATTGGGAAGCTCCTCTACCTTTTCGCAATCAAGACGTCATGATGCCAGATAATCGTATCCAAGCAGAAAGACGATTCAAGAGTCTGCAGAAGAACCTTTCAAAAAATCCACAACTTAAAAAAGACTACTTCGAATTTATGGCTAAAATAATTAAGAGAGGTCACGCATCTCGTATCCCAAAATCAGAACTCGTCACCAAACTGGGAAAGAAATGGTATTTACCTCACTTCGCTGTATACCATCCTCAGAAACCTACACAAGTGAGAGTAGTTTTCGACTCGTCTGCAGATTACGAAGGCACCTCATTGAACCAAGAACTTCTTCAAGGCCCTGATTTAATAAACAAGCTCTTCGGACGTCTCCTAAGATTTCGTCAGCACAGCGTCGCAATTATGTGCGACATCGAACAAATGTTCCACAGCTTCTTCGTCAATGAAACTCATAGAGATTTTCTCAGATTTTTATGGTTCGAGGGTGACTGTCCAGATTCCCCTATCGGAGAGTATCGAATGAATGTCCATCTCTTCGTTAACGGTCCTAGTCCTGCGATAGCCACCTACGGACTTCGTAAAGCAGCAGAAGACCCTTCAAACAAGTATAACCAAACCACAAGAAAATTTGTAAATGAAGACTTTTACGTCGACGACGGAGTGTACTCTTGCCACTCAACAGCAGACGCTATTGAATTACTCAAATCGGCCCAAGAAATGTTATGGGACTCGAAACTGCGTCTTCATAAAGTCGTCTCCAACTATGCTGAGGTGATGAAAGCTTTCCCTGAACAAGATTTAGCTAAGGGACTCGCTGAACTGGATCTATCTAACGATAAACTACCATGTCAACGTACAGTTGGTGTACAATGGGACTTAGAAAAGGATGTCTTCACTTTCAAGGTTATCAACAAAGATAAACCATACACACGGAGGGGAATTTTGTCAGTCATCAACTCACTCTATGATCCTTTTGGTTTTCTTGCACCTTTCACTATCGTTGGTAAGAAGATTCTCCAGAGCCTCATTCAACTTGGAAACACAAAAGGAGATCCACTTGGATGGGATGATCCTTTACCTGCTGATTTGGAAACTGAATGGTATAAATGGTATTCTAGCTTATCGTCTCTGGCAGAGGTTCAAGTCCGAAGATGTTTCCATCCTCAAGATTTCGAACCCATTTCAAGAATTGAAGTCCATGCCTTTTCTGATGCAAGTAAAGATGCTCTTGGTGCAGTTTTATACCTGCGACTCATCAATACTAATGGTCAGATTCACGTCTCCTTCGTGAAAGGATCTGCTAAAGTTAAGCCTCAACGACACCTATCAATTCCCAGAATGGAGCTCTGCGCAGCTGTATTACTTGTCACAACCGTCAAACAGACCTTAGCAGAGTTGGAGTATGAAATTGATAGTACATACTACTATACAGATTCCAAAGTTGTCCTGGATAC